AGGCATAAACCGCAACATCCGTTAGTAAAAAAACACATTCATAGAATCTATTATTACTTAGAAATATTAATTTTAACACTAGAACTACATATATAATAATAATAAAGTTAAACTGTCGGTTTAAATATTATATATTAATATATTTGGTGCCACCGAGCCACCTCCTTGGTCATCGTGCGCCAACCGTCTTTAGAAGCATTACTGGGAAATGCACTAATGCTCCTTCGATACAGTGGAAAACTGTTAAGGGGCTGGTTAGGGGCTTTCTAAGACACTGATATAATTAGTGCATTGTGCCTCTAACATCATACACAAATTTACAACCTTGTTGTGCCTACAGACCACTATGTTACCAATCTATTTTGACCTCTAAATTTATATACGTAAGACTCACCATGCATTCTCATTTGAACGGTCAATGGTTTATACTATGCATTAGGTTTGTCTGAATTATTGGTCATATGTAGGGTTCATAATTATCCAAAAAGCTCTATGTTTAAGGACGGTTTGTTTTAGTAATTTAATAAGGAACTAATTATAACATAATTGTTTAGAGTACAAAGACGAAATAGAGTATTTCGTTAAACAAGACGTTTCATTAACTTTGTATATTTATGAATAGAATTTTAAAATATCTCCAGACGACTTCGAGTTTTCCAAAGGCTTACTAACGTTTATCCGCTCTAATTAAGGACCGTCAAAGAACTTAATGAGTACTGAAATCGATTGCTTTAGTTTAATAATTGATTTTATAATAGGACATTATTAATGATTAAGATATCTTATTTAACTTTTGTCTTTCAAATGACGATGTTTAAGATATTATTTATTGTTATTGTAATAAATATAATATTTTTTAATGAAAATACTAACTGAACCGGCGAACTTCGTACCGCCCTATGATCAAGAAATATCTGTTACTTTTTTATGTGAATAAAGTTAATTTTTTTATTAAGTATAGCTGACTCGACAGACAATGTTCTGTCTTCTTAACTGTGATTATTGAATTCTAATTGGTATGTCAACAAATCAAAATTATTCTAAAACAATGTGTATATTATTCTAATGCTTTATTCTAACTACGTGAATACTGCGAGTGGCACATTATTAAAAAAAAGTGAAATATTATATATTTTTTTCAAGTAATTTTCTTATTTTTTTCTTACATAAGAACCTTCTCCGTAAAATAACAAATATAACAAAAAATGAATTAGTGAAATCGGTCCAGCCATTCACGCGTGATGTCGTGACCAAGAGAAAAAGGGATTCATTTTTATATATACTATATTGATGTACTAAATATTAATTATCATTACGACACTTTAATATACCTGATACAATAAAAATCTAATTGAGATTTTGAATTACGTCATCTATGTTTACCTTACACCAGTTAGTAATTGATAGCCTAATAGGAGATTCCAAAATGCAATCATAACGCTTTAAACATTTATAAATTAATTATCAGCATACCGCTAAAATCGATCAATCCGCGCAGTCTCACAAGTCTTTAATGTGGTACGTTGTATATAATACAATAAAATATATAAATATATAATAATTCATGTAATAAAACTACTGCAATGAAGGCTCTGGTGAGGTTGTGGTGTGATCACGAAACATTAGCCTTACGATAGTGCGCTCGTGATGGCGTATATACATACAGACATATTATATATAAATATTATTTATAAGAAAATATTGTATCCATTATAATACATAAAATTAGTTTATTGTAATTATATGGAGTGGATTTCATTGATTGCTTGTTTTAAATAAATTCATCTATATATATTTTGTTATATCGAAGGTCAAATTAGAGAGAATAGAGTAATGTAATGAATGTATTTGAATTTTTTCTTTATAATATATATGTATAATAATTTTTATTGACCGTGTGTCCGTGTGTAATGTGCGGGGTAGTTTATGTGCCGCGCGATAGCGGCTACCAGAGGTTATTCGTTGTACTAATGTGCTCTTGCATCTCGTTTGCATTCCGCATCTTGGCATGGCTATTTGGCTAAAACTTAAAATTAACTTTATTTATATGACAATAAAATTTAATTCTAAAAATTTATGATTTGATTTTGTGACCACTCATCTTGGATATATTACGAGCTCGGTTATGTCAGGAGTGTTATAAGAATGTATATGAAGACTTTGTTTAATAATTTTCAAGGATGAAACATTTGTTTTTTAGACAGTTATAATCTTGATTCGTTTCTTATTTTATATACATTTACTTAACTTGGCTTATATTTTCAATAAGTTTAACTGTTTCGTGTAAAAGTAAAGGTGTGTATAAAGTCTAACCACATGAGTATAAAATATTAAAAATTGGTAACTGCAATTAAATGCTTATTGATATTTGCACTTTTATCATTAATAAACCAATTTGGTTCAGATCAAACAGTACGACATCAACATTTGCACGAATATCGTTATATACTCTTTCAGATTCAGACTTTTTTGATAAGTCTTTCGAATCTCCAATAATTTCACAAGCCTATTAAAATGGACATAATCATCGCTGTAATAATTAAAAATAACTTATTCAATTGATTTATTAATTTAGGCATAAGATTATAATTATAACTCACTAAAGAGAACAAAGAAACTCAAAAATCGATAAACCAATGAGATTTTAGACATTTAAGAATAGAATTTAGGAATAAGAATCAATATTCAAATAAGCAAAATAAAGAATCTGAGTAAAATAATTTATGACACACGTTATACTATCATGTTTTCAAATTGTAGAATGATACAAGAAGTATATATTTAATTCATTTACTATAACATAATAATAAATGTAAATATCTAGATCTAATGAAGTGTAAAATCCAATTTCTTCCTACTAAGTATATAAAAGTTTCCACTCAGCGGAATATTCGAAACAAGCCCGTCGGGCGGTGACGCTCACACTATTTTCATTTCGTGTAGTGCCACATTTAATTTTGTTGAAATTCTAACGTAGCTTTGCAAAAATGTCAACTTTATTCCGCCTCAGCCCGCGACGCCGTTTCACTTGGATGCTTCGCTTCTTCATTTTGTGGAATGCACCGCAGTTTCGCGACGGGCTTTGAGAAACTGTAACTTTATGGAAACTTACCGCAACTCCGAAGTGAGACGTGGCTTTTGATAAAAATGTATCAAAGCGTATTTAATTTTCGTTATGACTTCCTCGCGTTCCTCGCTTCGGACCTCCGAGTCTCGATTGAATGAGGCTTAAATTTAATAAGACATCGCACATATAACATGTGGCAAAACATAAAACTGCAAACATTAAATAACTTCTATATTTCATTAAAGTTGCTATAAAGTATAATGACAGTTCAAATGTTGTGGCATTACATGGAAACATACATAAAGAGTCATAAAAGTAACCGTGAATATTTTCCGTGCGATCACAATTCTATTTGTCAAACTTGGTACACCGGCTTACCGATCATAGCCCATCTGAAATTCATATTGAATGCCGATCGTATAAAGCCACGTACACACTGTAAAAGGCTGAGCCCCCGCGGGAGATGGGTCTAAAAGGCCACGAACGATAGCACTCATCTGAAGAATAAGCCTGTTTCCCGACGACGAGGTTTACGGATGCGACATCGACTCAATGCTATTTTATTCTGCTGCCATTAATACTTAAAATGGTTTTCAGTGATGTGGAACTTTATATCGATAGAATAATTGCGTTTTAGTTAAATTATTTCTTGATTTAATTCAATCGAACAATATAAAGGTTTAATATGGATCATTAGGGATAATTTCTTTAATTTTCAATGTTCTTGGTTATATTAAAATTACATTCGTATATATATATATAATAATTAAAATCTATTTCTATCACAGCCTTTACTTTAAATAAGACAAGAGTTTTACTTCGAATTTCGATCATAACTTTTTCATTTCTTTTAAAAATTTTAGTCCGACTTAATATAACCAGATATTTTAATTTCCTGTCTCCCAAAAGCTATCGATAAATATATTAATACATCACTATCATAAAAGGATTGACATTTGAAGTTCCGAACGATCGAAGTACCGGATTGAGAACGTAGACAAAATCTTAAATAGATATAATATAGACCACAGTCGTTAACTTAAACACAGAATACGTACCCACGAGCGAGGATTACATTGACATATTGTGAAACAAAAAGAACCTATGATTTGTATTACAAATAAATAAATATAAGATAATAAATAGAAAACTTTCAAAGAATGTTTTAAAGTTAACGAAACGTTTAACTATATTATTAATAGTGAATTTCGAAAAGGATAAAGGAGTCAATACAGAAAATTACCCTCATCTCGTTTCAAGGGTCAAACTTCTTAACATATGAAGGGCAAATCCTTGGCGAGCACAAATAAATACGGTATATTCGAATTATGTTTCATCCCCGGGCATTAAGATGCGGAGGGTCAGCAATTGATCTCTCGGACATCATAATTCCGGACCCCAAATTGACCTAAGAGGAAACTTTTATTGTTTCTGTTTTAGAATATATGAAGAAAATATTGCCCACAATATTACGGGACATCTTGTTTCAAGATATTGTTAAGTAAGTTTTAATCTTATGTTCCTAAACATTAATTGTCTATTCTTTTACATCTACTAAATTAAATAAAGTGATATTGAAATCATTGCTTTAACATTATTGTTCGAACAACAATATAGGTTGTGTTATTCTGTGTAAACTCATATATCTAAGTGTACGTTCCAATCCCAAATCTTGTACCAAATAGCTCTCGGTAACAGTTTAAGTCTAAGTAAGTGGCGTTCGGCGGCCAAAGATTTGGTGGCCCGTCTCTAATGGCCTGTATCCTTATTTATAGGAGTTGCCGCAACCAAATGGTTTAAGAATTTTGAAAATTTTCCAATTTTACATCATTTTAACACTTGTAAGCTATTAAATATTGCATTCTAATGTATTGCAATGCATTGAATTATGATTATTAAGTTACAAATAGTGATTTTTCTGGATTGTATGTTCATGTTCGAAATTCCGAGTGAAAATCACGTTGAACATCTTTTAACATCCCCTCAGGCTAAGGGTAAAGGCCAAACGGGTTCAGACAAGCGTAACATGGAACGTGTCGCGTTTTTGTTGACACCTGATTATAATCCTGAAGCACTTAGGATTTTAGGATGTAACGTCCTGCTATTGAATGTTTTAGTTAGAAATTATGTCCAATATCTGACGTAAAATATCAGTGTTCTGTAATACTTACTAAAATATGCTCGAGAATACTTAATTGAAATTTATTATAATTTTTTTTAGAGATTATAACTTTCTTGTCACTTGTGAATTTTAATTTAAACCTCATTCAAAACGTAAACGTGTAAACGTAGAAGTTATTACAATAATATAGTATTAAGATATCAATTTGTTCTTCCTTAATATTTCATCTCAAACCGTAATTCTGTAATTCAAAGAAATATTATCGCTAAACTTGTTCATACATGAGCTACTAGTGTATTTATACAAAACAATCTTAATACTAATTAAACTCACGTAATTTTTTAATAAGCCAGCTCATAAAATTCATTAAAACTCTCAGTTGTATTTAATTTTATTACTTTAAGGTTTCGACCCACGATGTGTTCTGTAAATGAATCATATATATTTTTTTAGTACAACTATTTCTTCACATATCACGATAAGTCAATACACACCTAATCAGTGATAAGAAAGTTTAGATAACGAAAATCTTATACAGGTTGATGTTATTGTGTACGTTTAGTATCAAAATAATATATAGTACGCCTTGAGAGATATTCATATTTTATATGATATATAGGGTGTTAATTAAAAAATGTATTTATATTAAAACTATGCATAAAGCCAAATACTAATTAATAATAATTATATGAACATTTCTTCATACGATGTGCTTTTATTAAATAGGAAAAAGTGTATTGAAAAATTACAAAACTGAATTTCTTTCTTTTAATTGTTTTTAAACTTTAATGTATGTAAGGTAATAAATGATTAAATTATACATACAACTGTGTTCTATGTAGCTGTTGAACTTAGAAATTACAAAACGTGTACTATTAGCTTAAAATTATTTTTTTATTACCCAAAATATTACTCAATTCCTTTTGCAGTAAATATCAAAGCCTAATAAACAAAAACATTAAGTTATGCTATTTCGAATATTCCATACCAATCTGCAAAATAATAAAAAATATATATTTTAATAATTTTTAATATAATAGTTATATAAATACCCCCTATATATCTGTGCCTTCATTTTCCGTGGCCGACGGTGCCAACCTATTGACGTCTTTAGATATGTCTTTAAACACCAAATTGTTCATAACATATACGTGTACTTTTAAATATGAAAATGTATCAATAATTAAGTGTATACAAAAAGGGTTGTTTTTATTATAAAAGTTTAGTGAAATAATAAGTTATAATGAAGATCAAAAGTCGTCGGTGATGGGTAAATTTTTCTTTAGTCACACATATTTATATATATAATAATTTATTCGGATTTGTTTATCTATAAGAAACCCTAAAATAAGTTATTGAATAAAAGGTATCAAAATTATTGTTAACATTTAAGATTACTTAATAGTGATTTCAGTAATAATCCTTAGCCGATTTAAAAATCGGCTCCGTTTTTATTTTCAACATGAATGAAACGTTTAACAAAATAATAATTAAAAATCAAATGTTTTAAAGACATTATTTTTGGAAATAAAATGTTTCATTGATAGATAATAGCTGCATTTTTAACACTTAAATCAGATATCTTATTTGTGATTATTATATCTAATTATGATTATGAAAAGTTAAATTTGCGGTTTCGCTACTGTGTTATATATTGAGAATTATCGTTCCTAACTTTTGTATAGATATTTCAAAATAAGTCTTATATTTCAGGTTTTACATTCACATTACTATGGCTGCTGCCAGTGACGGTGTTTTCTGGGGTCCTGCGAGACTTGGAAGACTACACCGATGATCCCTGCAGGGTCTATAATATGGATAACCTTATCCACTTGGATTGTTCCTATCGAGGACTTAGTGAATTACCAGATGGATTAGATTATAACGTAAGCTGCATTGTTCTTATTAAGACATGATAGTTGTAGGGTTTTCTAAAACCATCAAGCAGTTATTTTGGAAAGTAAAATATTGTTTTTGATAGATTTTTCTAGTGTAGAGTACGCATTAATCTTTAAGAACTAGTGTAAATAAGGTTCTGACTTATTTTTCTTTCAATTACAGGCCCAAGTGTTAATTCTGTCCAATAACAACTTTGTGGATTTTCCAGATGGACTGGAAAAGTTCAATAACGTACAAAGTTTGGATTTATCGGGGAATCTTTTAACCACACCACTGCCTAATTATTTTCAAAATTTGGGTAATCTTAAAATTCTTAATTTGTCTAATAACAATTATGTTTCATGGCTAAGCAACAATCATATCTCTAATATTGTTAGACTTGATTTATCTAAGAATAAGATAAACAATATCGAAGAAGGTGCTTTTGCACAAATGCCAAAACTAGTATTCCTCGAATTATCGGAAAATAGAATTGACAATCTCCCAAATGGAATATTTAGCAAGGCAACAAGATTAGAAATAGTGATACTGTCAAGAAATTATTTCTCTGAATTGCCCAGATTTGAATCTGTATCTCTAAGAAATTTACATCTGAGCAGTTGTCAAATTACTACACTCGATGTTAATGCATTAAGTGAGATGCGATCTTTATTGGAATTGGATTTGTCAATAAATCAGCTTGAATCCATTCCGGATAATCTTGCCTCAAATTCATTGCAGGAACTAGATTTAAGTTACAATGGAATTGATACAATTACTGATCAAACTTTCTCTTCACTGCCGCACTTAGCGGTTTTGGATTTGAGAGGTAACGAATTTAAAGAGGTCTGGTCTACTTCGCACTTCGCCTCAAATCCATTTTTGAGAACGGTTCATGTGAAAGGAAACCGATGGAGTTGCGAAGGGTTCAGCGTCAACCTTCTCTTAACGTATGAATTTTTGACAAAGGAACCGCCGAAAGTTTATGACATAGGTTCATTGATTTGTTACTCTCCTTCAAACGTCACGCAAATGAGTTGGCAACAAGCTTACATTCGAACGTGGCATGCAGATGAACAATCACCATCAACTTACACTTTCATAGCTGTTATGATAGGAATGATCTTGGGAGTCATTATAACATCTTTTGTTTGTAGATTTGTAATGTCTTTTAACAAACCTGATCCACCTACATCTATACCTGAAACTACAGCATTAAATGGTACTACAAATCAACCAAGGACAGAGTCCGTTGTAATGCGGGTACAACTGAGGGAAGACCTACCACCAACTTATGACGAAGCTCTTCTATTACCCCGACTGAATGCCTCATTTCATTCTCTTCCTGATTTTATAGAGGAAGAAGAAATAGCAGAAAGTCGTGTACAAAGACAACGTAGATCTAGATCAATAGGCGACTTAACAGAGACTAGACATAGGATCGATGATCGGCGATCAGTGAGAAGAGCTGTTGATATTAATTTTGACTAACATTTTAAGTTAACGTCAACTTTCAAGGATATGTATTTATATTCTATTAGGATATTTATACATATAGTGTGTAATTTAAATTAAATAAGCTTAATTTAATTTTAGAATTTTAAAGAATATATATATAAATATAAATATTTTATATTTTATTTATTAATTTTTATAATCACGTCGTTACATAATTAATATATTTAAGATGATGTCATATTTATCAAACTCACCATCAGTGACATCTGTTGGATGACTAAATACTTATTACATATCTTCTGTCCGCACTTGTTTAATGAGTTTCAAAAAGAAACGACAGATGGCGGTGTATTTATTTTCAAAAATGGTAATCACATGTAATAATCACGCTCTGTTTTTTATATTGTTTATTGTAATAAGCAAAAACTTAATTATAGATAATTTTGTTTTTTCTTTGCTCATTAATGAAGGAAATATATATTTTCTTACAACTTACCTGATGTCATTTTTATTATTTAATACCAACATATGTAAGTATATTACTTAGATTACCTAGTCTTCTAAGACCCTTATCGTTATCATAACCGATAACGTCATTCATTTAATTTGGCTCATACAAAGTTATCTGCTCGTTGAAAGCAGTCGTGGTCATCTAGATATTTCCAATTCCTTAAGAACTTTAAAGCCGTGGGTGGTGCGTGATATGAGTGAAAAAAAAAACTAAACGGGCACCATATTATTTAAATTAATGTTGTGTAAATTTATGGTAAGTATTCACTATAAATATGATATTCGTTTATATTACAGGGATAGTAGATTTTTAAAATTAATTATGTGCTCAAATATTTTTTACAGATAGACAGATTTTTGCTCGATGGACAGGAGCAGATATTCTTTTAATTTGCAGTTCTCTTAATAGGTATGTATAATCGACCTAAATTTGAGTATTCCACAATCCACTGTTATCAGGTTGATAAGAAAGATAAACTTGTTGTACTTACAAATGTTGATATTTATTTTCTGACACTGAATTCGCTTACGTATCGGGGTCGGGCTCCTTTTGGGATAATTAAACGTGACAGGAAAATATAAGTTGGACCGAATAGCAGGTGTTGAAGTGACTCATTAAGTGTAACGCCATCAATATCCAATGAAGAATATCATTTGATAAAGCAGTGTTCCTTCACAGGTAGGAATGAGAGACACACGTGATGCTTCTATTACGTACATCGGGATTACTTCTGTTGTTGTTGTTGACAAATGCGGACTCGGACTTAGATGACAACTACGATATTTGCTTTTTGTGCTCATGTAACCCAGAACAGAACAGCGTAGACTGTTCCCACAGAGGGCTAACTATTCTTCCTGATGGAATATCCGTAAAAGTAAGTAGAATCATCTCTTATCTTCTACTACTACTCTAAACGTCTACATAACAAACGTTTTTATTAATACTGATGTCATAATTTAATATTTCTGTAGATAAAAGTGATAACACCAATTATTAAATTAAAAATATTAGTATTTAAAACTCAGTTCACTATAATTGACCAACTAGGAGCTATAGTCACAGAAATCCTTATCTCATTCTTGTAATTTAATTTTTTTCAGGTTTCGAAGCTTAACATTTCCAACAACGACATCTCAGTTTTTCCAACTAACCTCAGCAAACTATATAACTTAGTATCATTGGATATAAGTGGGAATCAAATAAATGAATTCCCTGAAAATGCTCTTCAAAATCTTACAGCGTTAGAAATATTGAATTTGTCAAACAATGGCTTCGAAACATGGTTAAGTTTAAATCCCAACGAAGTTTTAAAACCAGCTGTTAAATTAAAGATTTTAGATTTATCCAGAAATAATTTGAAAACAATGGCCAATTTGGCTAATCAAGAACTATTCATTAGCCCAACATTAGAAACATTAATTTTGAATGACTGTCAAATAGATGCTATTTACGGAAGGTCACCTCTAAGTGGACTTATTAATATAAGAGTATTAAAACTTGATAACAATCCTTTGTTAAGAATACAAAACCTTATATCACCGACCTTAAAGAGTCTATACGTGAGTAATTGCCAACTTAGTTACATAAATAATAATGAACTATCTTATTTGCCTTCGCTACTGTATTTGAAAATGTCTCACAATTATCGTTTGGAATTATCTGCAACGTCCAACTCGTTATTCTCCGAATCCTTAAAATTTTTAGACATATCATATTGTAATGTCTTCAAACCAAATCTAGCAGGATTTCCAAACCTAAGAAAAGCTATAATAAATCATAATATGATTAGATATTTAGGCAGCAACGAGTTTATAAATAATACAAAACTTGAATATTTAGATCTTTCCTACAATAACATAGGGTCTATCAAAGGCGATACTTTTCGTGGACTTAATATGCTAAGGTTTTTAGATTTATCTTGGAATGAATTGGCTCAAATACCTGAAAACAGTCTCTTAGAAATGCCATCAGTGACTCAAGTAAAACTGGCAAGAAATTATTTAAATCGAGTTGGTCATTTAAAATCTACATCTATAACAATTCTTGACATGAGTTCATGTGAAATAAGTGTGATTGGAAAAGATTCATTTGAAGGACTACCATCACTCATTGAAATGGATTTATCACATAATCTTATATCCCATATACCTGACAGCATATCTTCAAATACGCTGAAGTATTTGAACTTAAACTATAACAGAATTAGCTCTCTAAGTAATTTCACCTTTTTTATGATGCCTCACCTCACCGGCCTTAGTGTAATAGGAAATCGTTTCACAAATATTTGGAGCAGATCATATTTTGAATTTAATGTCAATTTAGATAAACTCGATTTGAGCGATAACATGTGGAGATGTGATTGTCGTGATGATAATATGTATGATTTTTATGAATTTGTCACTTTAGAACCAAACAAGAAAGAGGAATCTTATAATCTTATATGTAACAGCCCTATTAACGTTATCGGCCAGACATGGTTGGAAGCTTGTTATTTTGCTTGGTATCCCGATGTTAAGAAAGGAAATGCTGATAACTTAATATATTTTATTATTGTTATGGTAGTCGGTTTATCATTATGTCTAATTATTGTAAGTGCTATAAGAAGATCTCTCAAACATCGCTTGTTAGTAATGCAAACAGAACGAGAACGACAAGTTGAAGAAGCCAGGGATAGATTGAGACAATTAAGAATGCGAGCTGAACAAGAAGCTTTATGTAATACTCCAGATCCAAGGGATTTGATACAACCACCGTCGTATGATGAAGCTCTCTCAATGCCAAAACTAAATGTATCCTGTCATTCTTTGAACGAAACCGGAACTGGCAAAAGTAAACGAAGGAGAGGCAGGAGGAAAACTAAGTCAAGTGGAGATTTACTCGAAGAGACAGAGAGGAATGGAGATGTTCGAGTGATTGATGACATAGAATTGACTGAAACTCCTAACATCGATGACAGACGACGTCGGCGGCGTAACAGAAGATACGGTAGTCATGATATAGCAGAACTTGATGATAGTCCTGGAGCGAGAAGGAGACGAATGTCCTCGGTTGAACCACATGAGAATAGCGTCATGCTGCAAGTTGAGGCAGATCTAGAGGCACCCAATAATCGAAGGCTTGGCTTAAATGAGAGTCACCCACGAGAAAGTGACTTTTAGTTTATTTGACACATATAACTTTTTCAATAAAAGTTATATTAATGAAATATTGTAAAGAAAAAGTTAACTTATAACTCACATGTTTTTAAATCATAATAACAATTTTCTTGAAGACTTTTTTTAAAGTAAAAATTAAAAATATTGATTTATCCCCCATAGTAGACAAATAAGAAAAAAGTCATCTAGTTTTAAATGTCTAATTATCTAAATATTGTAAATAATAGTTAATATAAAATATAGTTAATTCTTTATTTGTTATTATAACTTCTACAAAAAAATAATTATTATTGAATAATAAATTCTATTTTACTAAATCTGAAACATTAATGTCATTTTAGGCAATGATTACATAAAGAGTATTTTTATTTTATAAAGCATTTACTAGAATAGAATATCTTTCTTTATTCTTACATTTCTAATAATTTCGTTAAAACTTTGTAAAATTGTAGAATCTTTTTATTATTTTGTAAATAATTATTAGGTAAGTAACGAAATGAATGTAAAGATGTAAGGATAAGTTTTCATTAATTTAAGTATAATGTCTTTCCTATATTTGGAACAATTAATTAACAAAATAATATATAACCTACGAAATAAATGTAAAAAAAAATTAATTTCTTGTTCTAATTTTATTATTTAACTATTATTATAACTTTCAAATATTAAATATATACGAATTATAATTTTTTTTGTCACATTTCAATGTATGTATAATTTTTTTTTAGGCTTTGCTTTAAAATTCTCACTGTGAAAGATAACCGTCATCGTTTCATCCTAAATTAATCATTATGTTTTTTAGGCAGTAATCCTAGTCCAAATGAACATTTGAAGTCTATTATATAATTACTGGTTAGAATAAAGAATCAATTTAACATTTTCGTCAGGTACTAATCATAGGTTTCAAATTTATAACACCTGTTAGTTAATTAATCACAGGCAAAGAACATATTAATGAAGCATTCAGGATGAAAGTAGATGGAGAATATAAAAGATTCTATAAAACTTTCTTTTCTTTTTTTGACAGAAACATAAATATTAAAAAGAAAGAGAGCATCTTTGGAATTCTATTACTTGGTTATTAAAATATAAAATAATAGAATTAAAATAGCGACTTCGATTTGTAATTAATATTTCTATGTTTAAATTGAAATATACAATATATCATTGAAATGAATATGAAGTTTTATACCAACGTAATCTTTAAAAATAATGTAAATTTAAATCCTACTAAAATTACAAAGAAATTATAACAAGTACGATTCTTTCTGGTCTATTTAGAAGTAAATTTTTGAAAACCACTTTAATTTTTGTCAAAAAGTATAAAAATAAGTATGTATATAAACTAAAAATTTGAATTTCGTATACAAACTAAAAATTTAAACTTCCTTTATAGATAAAAGAAAAATAAATGATAACTCCAAATAATATTTTATGTCTATTGAAGAAAAATCACAAAATTTATAAATATATTTATTTTAAAATACATTTTTTTCTATTTTTCATAAAATTAATGAACAATCCACCTAATAAAATAAAAGTCGATAAATAATGAAATAAAATTGTATTATAAAAATTTAAACAAGTCAGCAAGCATAGAAATACAGCAAATAAAATATTTCACTATTATTTATTTGAAATTAATATACCTAAACAAAAATATACATTAAAATTATAGTTTTCAGCATACATATTACTTTTACAGAATGAAATACTTAAAATAAGTGGTATCACAATCTTATATAACTAATAAATTAATAAAATTATTCATAAGGAACTTATGTGTAGACCAAGACAGAACAAATCTCTTATAGAATGAAATTCTATGTTAAACAACACCATTCAAGATATTCGTTGATAGCATTGCCATTTTAACAGTTCAATGTAGGCTTTGAAGTATGTAAGTACACAACCTCCGACAAATCAATAAATGTACCCAAATTAACTAGAAACCGAATAAGGAATACAATACAAAATTGTACAATTAATGTTAACCATAAACAAATTATTACGAAACAAATTTGATAACTATTTAAACAACTATTATATCTATGATGAACATGGCAACATTTTATACACGTATAAAAATATTCTCTTAACGCACTTGCTCTCATATAAATATATTATACCACTAACAAGTTACAAAAAGGCACTGTCGACTACAAACACACTTTGGCAGTTTTTTTTTTTTTATATAGTAACAATATTTGAAATTCACTCTCGAGTTCGCTCGTGGATACATTTAAAATCATCACAGAATTTTGCCAATAGTAACTTGTTTTGCTAATTGACACTGAAACACAAATTGTTCATATCCCACCCACTGAGAATCATTTTCAAGTAGTCGTTTGAGTTGCATTTCCGCTCAATGATGGTGTTATAATTATGTCTCCAGCGTTTGACCTACTTCGTGTGACGAGAACGGGTGTTTTTGGTTTTGGAACTTCTGTCATTTTAATCCGAACTCTTCCCATATCAGGTGAGTATACAGGGACATACTCACGAGATGGTGATAAATAATCTGAATCTGCAACCGGATCTCCATTTATGAGAGGCTGAGACAGATCCAAATTGCCATTCAATCTTGGATTGTCATCATCATTTATAGGAACAAATATATCTTCACTAGACAAAGAATTTGTATCTTTCCTTGAGTTGTTAGATTCAAATGATGTTTCTTGTTGTGGTATATCATTTTGATTTGACAAATTATTGTCTATAGAACTACTTTTATTTTGATTTGTATCCCGAGGACTATCAGTTCGAATATCTTGATTTTCGTCATGTTTAATTCCATTTGCCACATCACCATTCTCATTCTTTTTTTGATAACTTTCATGTGTCGGTACAAGCTCATATTTTCCATTAACTTTTTTGTCTATAGGATTTTCTACAGGAGCAGGTTTACCCAATAAGGATTTGTTCATATCGACCATTTCTTTCGATGCCTTTTCCACATCTCGTTTTTGTTGTCTTAATAATCTTCGGTCCCTTCGCTTCCGCATTTGGCCTTTAGCTATTGCAAACCCAATTAATCCAACTAGTAAAACAATTATTAAAGCAATACAAACATACGTTCCTGTTTTATGTGTAACCTCATTTTCTTCACCGACGCTAGCAGGGCCTAGGACTTCAGAAGCTTGAGTAACCCTTATTTGTTCTGAAACTGTTGTGTCTCTTGTTACTTCTAGGGGTACAGCTTTTTTTGTAACAATTTCAGGATCAGTTTTGATATGCCAATCAGGACCTCCCGCATATACGTTTGGTGGCTCTGGTACAGGAAATTCTGAAACATTTGTGTCTAAGTCGTCGTTAAATATCCTGTGAATTGGATCTGGGCTTAATTCTTCAATTATGGGAGTAGTGGTTTCAATCATTTGTTCGGTCGTATCTTCGTAATCGTCGAGGAAAAAGTACCCTGAACCTTCACCAGAACCTTCCGTGGGTGCCTCTGTAGTATGAATATTATCCGCAGGAATAATTTCCTCATTTTTCATTAGATTTTCATGCATTTTACGCTCTTGCATTGGTTCCATAAAATCGCTGATAGTAGTACTTTCAGCTTCACCCGACCCTTCTATTTCACTTAAAGGTGAGGGAGACGTAATTCGGCCTACTTTCATAAATTGTAAACTATCATCATCTTCCATTAATTCAGCACCTTGAATGATTTTTCCTTCATCCAGATCACTTCTAGCAGCAAAAGGTTGATTTGCTTTTAAGGCAGTGGTTTCTTCACCAACTTTTAAGGCATCTAGAGGTTGATCGCCCATCATCATATCTAAATAATCTGGTTTTATAACTTTACACACTTCTTTTGTTTTCAGTTCAAGCCAAGATCGACCTCTTAAGTTTATAGGACTTTCACATTTTACAGCATCGATATAAGTGCTTGCAGCTAATAATTGATTACGTGCAAGAATGTTGGCACAAGAACAATCCAGTGGATTACCTTCTAGTTCTAAATGTTCCAAACTAGGTAAATGTCCAAGCTCAGAAGGCACATCTTTTAACAGATTGTTAGTTAAGTCTAAGGAACTAACACTTGTAGGTAGATGTGACAAGGAGAGTCTTTGTATTCTATTGTGAGCAAGATTAAGATGGACTAACTTTTTTGCATTGTGCAAAAATTTGCTTACTTCTGTCAATCCATTTGTTGATAGATCAAGAGTTACTACCTCGGTGAGTCGGTCCAATTCGTGAGTAATTTTACTAATATTGTTATGAGACAGATCTAGAATATTTATATTGTGATGTTTTTGACGAAGCGTGTACTTGTAAAGGTCACCGAGATTGCTACATGTGACTCGGTGTAAGCCATCCCTAGTGGTGCTGCAAACGCAGCTATCAGGACAAACTGCCGACAATGTGGGCTCGAGCAGAAGTGTTGCAGCAAAGAAGAAGAAAGAAAACCACCACATCTTGTTTGTATAGCGCCACCTGGAATTCAGAAAAAATATATTTATTATAAACAAATGAAGTCATAAAAACTGTAGTATTAAAAAATTATGATTTTAATTTTTAATGACAGCGATTTGACATGCCTAAAAGGTAATTCGTGTCATAAATATTTTCCGCTATTCGTTTACTATGACATACGATATCAAATTACAGCCACAATTAGTTGTGTGTAAATATTACTGTGTCACCTTAAATAAATACTGTATACAAAAAACATTTAACATTGAATTCGTTTCAATTATAAATACTCATAGACAAATAAAGGTGAGGGAATGATGAAAATGTCAATTATTTTGTCATAAACGTTACAAACAGCTGGCATTACTCTCAGTACGTGGGTGTGTACAATTCGAAAACATTTTCTATTTGCAGCCACATACTAACATCCTCAGTGCACTTGGCCGACGCTCAGGATAAGAAGTAGTTCAATGTTAGCGACAGGAAGTACATTGTTAGCCGATTGTGCAATTGTTGTCACAGAATCTTTAAAGGGAGCAGGGGTTGCTTACCTACTAAGGAATAAATAGATCTAGCCTTAAAACTTGATACGCAGATTGTAAATTAGAACGAAATATTTTATATTGTATTTTAATTATAAGCTTTAACTTTAACCTCAATAAATCATTTAGATCATAAAAACAATCTTACAAAAATATGTGAACCTACGAGTATGTATATTTATGTTTTAAAATGCTCTTGAATACTGGAAGTAAGATTTGGCACGAACAAACCAAAGTCAATATATAAACCTAATAAACCAAATATGTGGTTATGATGACGATAGTAATAAACATGCTTAGTTACAACTATTTTGTAAACCGTAAGCTTGTGAACGTCTTTAAGCAGATTATGTAATTTCATATGACTTTGTGCTGAGGTAAATAAAAAAACCCACGCAATATCATGCGATTGTTGTTATTGCCGTACATAAATTTCAGATGCATATTGAGTTATATAAATACCAACGCTACAAGTCGTCTCCATTTATTTATTATTTATTATAATCAGATTAAATAACAAAAATAAACTAATTAAATATTCATGAGATTAGTTGTAACATTTATTTATTGATCTACTTAAATGTATTTCACAATATTTGAAACGGTTTTGCAACCCTCGTTTCTTATGGGAAACATTTACACATACATAAATTTATTGGGTCAGAGAGAATAAACAATTAGGCAATGAAAAGTTACGTAGTCTATACATTCGAGTTTGATGTGTAATAAAAATACATTTAGAATGTAGGAACTAAAACTATCACCGATCATTGTGTATACTACAAAAAACATTCACATATGAATTAAAATAATATGCAATGATCATATTATTAATATACGCAGGTACTTTATTGAGATAATTTAAACATCCATATCACAGGCAAACTGATCAAATGGCCTGTATTAGTTTCTTCCGCCTGCAGATTAGCGTTTAGAACACTTTTGACCTTGATACTAAATTTAGAAGGAATATATTATAACATTTACCAGTTTTAATAGGATATTGCTTAATATTTTACATATAATATATTTATTTTTATATACACACCTATTCTATAGGATAAAACTCTTCATATAGTATATATTTCTTGAATAAAATGAATCACAAAGGTTAAACATAAACGCCTCTGGTTAAAATGACTGTCGTTACGCCGGTTGGCCGTGGACGCAATCGCCAAACCAAATTTGCATAAGATAAGACTGATAATAAATAATCGACTGAAACCTGTATCGAAATTTATTTTCGATCAATAACGTGTTTTACTCCTAATTTATAATGCGAATAAATGCCGTATTTAATTAAATGATCATTCTAATGAAGTAAATGATATAACACGTATTAAAATTAACTCACAATGAGATTTAAACATATTGTTTAATAAACAAATTGCGAGTTATAAAGTGATTTCATATGAAATTACTTATACGGTACATTTCCTCAAAACGAAATTAATAGGTACTTAATATATTTTCTGTAAAATCATTACTATCCGCGACTATTGTGTGTTTGAAGCTCAACCTTCCCTTCATTGTAATCTAAATTAGGTTAAACATTTCTTTACAAAAATAGTATTATTGGGTAAGATCTTTTGAAAATAGATACAAAAATTTGGGACTTAAGAATAAATAAACAGACAGATGATGATTAAAATGTTACTCATAAGAAATGGAGGAGATAAAAATTCAGTAGCAGTAGAGAAAATGACCATAGAAATGTGACATTATTTAATTAAGAATGCATACAAACTAATAAGATACACTAAGAATTTAATCGATTATATCAATTTATTATCCACAAGTTATAATTCCGATTTTATATATAAAGTTCTCACAATAATAGTAATAATATTTTATTTAAATCAGGCTATTTCAGACTAGTTGACTAATATCATGATAATAAATTTCTAGATATTGCTATAGAGATAACAGAAAACAAATTTAATAAATAATATATATATGCTTTAAATAAGGAAATAAGACACAGCATATAATTAAAATTAAATGAAACACAAAATATTTTGGAACTCAGAATTACGTTTTCCTTTGTGGTTATATTTACTCGTTTTCTGTTTCAGTGAGAAACTATGGTATTTATTTTATCATTTTTACAAATTTATCTACAGGAAAAATTACGAGAATAATGGAATTTTGAAATTTCACACAATTAATAATTTAATCTCGCTTAACTTGTTTCAATGCAAATACCACTAGGCCAGACAGTCTGACGCCTAAATGTCAAAAGATTCAAAACCAGTAATGTGAATAAGTAACTAGTTTCGAATTATTGGGATACCCTTACATTATATAGTATCAAACACTTGCCTGTGAATAGTATTATTAGGAAATGGCAATACCGATAAGCGTCTAAGCAACTGACGTCATGAACTATTTAAATTTTAAAATAAAACTAATTATAAATGAGATTGCAATTCTAAATTTTAGGTAAAACTAAACTTAATACTTTTGGTTTGGTTTTATAATAATTATATACTTGAATATGTAGTGAAATCTCTAATACAACGGTCTATTTATCAGTTTGCAATGTAATTGGACTCTGGAACGAGATTGTATGCACAAGCATTCAACTGAGACTTGGGAACTAGATATGATGTCTGAGATACTAACTACTGATAGACTGATCAAATATATATTTTATATTCAGAGAAAAGTCAGTAAGATTATGATTTAGGATTTAAAAACTGACCCTTTCAAATCCTTTATGATAATATGTATAAGAAAATAATAAAGTTAAGTAGTCTTTTAGTATCGCTACCAGTACTAATGAAAAATTATTCTTTCGTAAATTTTTATCCCTATTTAATATTAGTTAAAATGAATTTAACGTTACTATGTTTTATCACGAGACAATTAATATCTGATAATAATTAGATTATTTTCTCTTAACTTGTAAATAATTGTCTCGTCTGTTTTCATTCAACCTATTTCGCTTTAAAGAAATATACTACTTTAAATTTTAAATTACCTACGTACTCCTGATTACAAGTCAATTTAACCATATTTTTTACCGCTCCTACAATAATTATTCGCTTGTTATTAAGTACTTATAATAAATTAAATGAAAGGTAATGTAAATAAGTACTATGTAAAGATATTTTTTTAAGGAGGTCAAAAAACAAGGAGAACTTCCTTACGATAAGAACCTTAACCCACTCCTGCTCTGACTTGATAATAAATATAAGCCAACTTAAAAAGAAACTACCGTATATTTTATTTGTAATGATGTAATAATGTAAAATTTAAAAACAAAATATGTACATATTTGTATAGATTTTATTAATTTATATACTTTAATATTTAAAAATTAAATTAATAATATCGACTCGCTTATCTTGGAATATAAGTAGTTAATTAACTCTGTAACTCATGACTGTAATAATTGGAAGTATAATAAAAACCTTTACCAAATATAACTTTCAATGCTTTTACAGCGCAAGGTTGGCTTAAAGCTTTAAATGGTAATTGAAAGTGCAATAAGAGTATTCTTTGGAATCATAAAACTCCCCACTACCGAGCTAATACCGGCTGTTTTATGCGCCTGCGCACCTTGTCACAGACCGCGGGGCAAAGATTTTATAACGCCATTTAATTCATGGAACATGTTTCCGAATATAAATTATTTTAATTGTCTGTCATAGGTGAGATTCAAACCAGCAACAGGAGGAAGTTTGAACACTTTAGCATTATACAAAAGGCGATGTTATAAAATTTTAAATAGAATTTATTCTATTTTGGAAACTAACATTGACGTCTGATAGATTTCTTCGTAGAGAGTTATATATAAACTAGTTACCGTCGTAGGTAGAATGCAGAAAATATATTGTTATGCACTTATTGTGTTCTTGTGAAAACACCTATTTGAAGCTTCGCTTGTATATTATGAGATATTTCTAGTTCAGGGTCAGGCCATTGTCACTCGGTGTATTATTCGTTATTATTCTCATTAAGTCTGATAATTCGTGTTAATGGAGACACTAACGTTTTCTTATAAATCTAAGTACCAATTTAAAAAATTATCACCCAGCAATTATTATCATGTAATCGTTCTTAATCGCCATTTGACGTAATGTGACATTAAAATATTGTTAATTGGTATATTGAGCAATGGCATGCTATTTGAGTGAGCTAATAACGTTAAAAGGATACATTTAAATTTGAAGTTGATGTAACACCATGCATTAACAAAGAGAGCTGCAAACATTCAAACAAAGCAAGTTATTCAAAACAAAGATTTATTTCACGCGAATGCTAGTTTTACATTGAATGTTATGAAAATATGCATGATTGTTGAGGAAATCTCTGTGTCTTTTCATGTCATTGCAAACGTTATTTTCTAATTGGCATATTCACTCGTTGGCAATGATATGGTAATTAGGTATAATTGGATTAATAAATAGAAATCATTAGAAAAAGCAAAACCCAAAAGGTTTTTACACGCTCAA